GCCGGTGTCTGGGGTCAGCCCTGTGCCGGTGTCTGGGGTCGGCCCTGTGCCGGTGTCTGGGGTCGGCCCTGTGCCGGTGTCTGGGGTCAGCCCTGTGCCGGTGTCTGGGGTCAGCCCTGTGCCGGTGTCCCCGAACCCAGCGAGGGGCGGACGGGGCCGGGCCAGGCCCGCCCCGCCAGGGGGCAGCCGCGGGCCGCGCTGCCCGGGGCCGGGGGCCGCAAAATCAGGGACATCTCAAAAATAGGAAATATTTTTTTACCGCCCTCTTTTCCTTTTTTTTTTTGTCCGTCCCGCGGCGCTCCCCCAAGCTCTTGTCCTGGAAATGTCCCAGTGGGCATTTCCCACTGGCAGAGAGGGCCTGGGTAATGGGCGGTGGGGAGGTGAGACTGAAGGGGAAGGTGGGGGCACGTGGGCCAAGGACATCTGGGACAGAGGCACAGGAACACAAAAAGGAGGTTTTAGGTGGAGGGGAGAGGCAGCACAGGCGTGACTGCAGTAATGTCATGTGGCTGTCAGAGTAGTTTGGTGTTTGCTGCTTGAAGCCACCTGGGAAAACATGCTCCAGTAGAATCATAGAATGGCTTGGGTTGGAAAGGACCTTAAAGATCATCTATCTCCAACCCCCCTGCAGTGGGCAGGGACACCTTCCACTAGAGCAAGCTGCTCAAAGCCCCATCCAGCCTGGCCTTGAACACTTCCAGAAAGAGGTACAAACCCACCTGAATAACGTCACCCAGGGCACCACTGCCAGCACCTTCTTGTTCAGATGAAAGGTGAATTTTGAGTGGGGTTTCACCCTACATTCGATTCAGTTTGGCATAATTATTTTTGTTTCTTTTGTTATAAAGGATAAACGTAAGGACTTCGTATTTTACACATGAAATAAAACCATAGATGTAGTGTTGGGCAGGATTGGATTTAAAAGCAGGATTAGATTTAAAAACTATGTGGGCAAATTGGGGAAATGGTCTGGAAGAAACAGGAGGCAGCTGAATAAGGAAAAAGTGGAAGGTCGCACACTTGAGCAACAATATGAACTCCCAGAGTACAGAGGAGGGAGTGATGGGTTAAGTAGCAATTCTTCAGAAAAAGGATCAAAAGCTGAATGCAAGTCAGCTATGTCATGGTGTTGAGGTGATGGAAAATAAGTTGAGGGTAGATGTGGCGTAATTGGATCCAGCCCAGTAGAGAGCAGGGAGAGCAAGCGGAAGTGGAGAAACCATTACCTACCAGGGAAGTCTGAAAGAACTGAATTCTCTAACCCTGAGGAAGAGAGAACTGAAGTCTTTAGGCACATAAAAGGACATAATCGTTGCTCCTTGTCTGTGATGGAGGAGAGGGAAAAAAAAAGAAAGAAAAAAGAAGGCTTAAGTCACAGCAGGAAAGGCTCAATTTAGATGTTAGGAAAAACTTTCTAATGACAGGGATAATAAAGAATAGACTGCCTGGGGAGCAGAGAGCTTTAAGATCAAGTTAAGCAACATCTGTCAGGGATGTCCGAGGTTTAGGTGATCCTGCTTCGGTTAGTGGGACGGACTGGTCTGACCTTTCAAGGTCCCTTTCAGCCCTAATTTTTCAGTGGTTCTGTGGGCCGACATTAATCTTCTTGATGGTATTTAAACAGTCAGCAGCTTCTCTTAAGTAACTGCTAGCAAGTCTCTTCTCTTGCCTGCGGTTTAAAATTAACTTAATTTCCATGCATCACTTTCGCCCTCCAGCTTCCAAGTCCTGCACAGCCAAGCAGCAGCTGAATTCCTGGACTGCTTGTCAGTACCTTCCTTGTGGCTCTGTAGCTATGCACAAAAAAAAAAAAAAAAAAAAAAAAATGATACAAACCCTGCATACAGGTGACTATGCCACCAGTGTGAGGGTGCCCTCCTTTTCTGCACTTATATGTAGGAGATATGGTCCCCCTTCTTGAGACAGCGGAATCTCATATGTGGTTATTTCATTTTGTGCGCTTCAGGAACCTGCCTCTTCATGTTGCCTGCAGCCTTCTGATTCTATAAGGTTTGAGTGTCCAAGCCCAGACACTGCCCAGCGTGCGTGGCACTTCTGTGTAACAATGTGTACAACAACAGGTGGTGTAATTAATACTTGTCCACAAGTGATCTCTCTTCAAATGGGGCAGACTCCAGAAAGAAGGCTGAAGTTGGCCCTGGAGGCCCTTGAAGCCACCAATGAAGGTGAATTTTCATCTGCCAGCAACAGAGTAAGAGGGAGAGAAAAAGCCAGGCCACGATGAGCAGTATCTGCAATCCTTGTTGAGTGCCATTGGAAAACAAGGAGAGCTGGTGAGTGTGTACTGAAGGCATGGTGCCTGAAAACTTCTTAGTTTTTTGCTTAAAACAGAAAAGACAGCATTTCCATAGCTGGGAAAAACTGAAAAAAAGCTGAAAAGAGAGGGAACCCCTGCCTGGAAGTCCTCACCTTTGGAAAATAACTCCCTGCCAGGCACTGAGCTGCACATATGGATTGTGAAGGGTGACCATGAAAACTGGGTGAGTATGGCATCAAGAGGATCACTGACCCCACATCACAGCTAGAAGATCAGCGATAGAGGAGATAGCCATAAACCAAAACAGGTTATCCAAAGTCAGGAAAACATGAGGCTTCCAAACCTTCATTGCATCCTCCTTAGTTATTTACTTAAAACAGAAAAGATTACATTTCTATAGCTGGGAAAAATCATCCCCATTGAGAGAGAGAACCACAAGTATCTTACCTGCCCACAGA